AAACACAGCTGATGCCTACCCAACAGCCACCTCTGATAACAGGAGGGGATAACTGTTGTTCTGTGGGCACAAGTGATATAAGAAGACAGACCCTAACATCACTACTGGCAAAAGAGGCAAGAAATGATGAAAATCACTTGTTCCATCAACTGTTCACTAAAGACCTGATTAGAGGCTGAAAAGGCTAAAAAGTTGCAAACCACAAGCTCCTGAAAGAGATTGGGGATGTTGAACCAAACCTATGGGCAGCAACCGAGTGGACCAACCACTGGGAAAGGTCAGACCTATTCCTATGGCATTTTATACCAACGTCGAGTGAGTCCCCCATTCGGCATGGCCTTGACATCGTCAGGGGTCAAGCTGAACAAACTGAGATATGCACTTCAAAACAACACGGTACAGGAAGAAGACTTTGGACAGCCCCCGTGCAAATGCGGTGTCCAGCAAACAGTGCAGCGCTTCATTGAAAGCTGTAATCTCTGTGCATGCCCAGACGGGGCAGATGCACGTTGAGTGACAATACCTGACAGCGGGTACGTCTACATGAGATGTTTACTGCTGACTAAGTAGCTCTGCAGTAAAGCATCAACGTCCACACATGTGGCCTTACTAGGCCGCAGTAAAATAATGAACGCCACCCTAGGATAGCACTGCCCAACACAAGTACTATCCTATGGTGGTGTTATGTAGTGTGCTGCAATGCATGTGTAGATGGTAACGGGGCTGTTTGGGGCACAAGGGTGCTGCAAACTGCACAGAGTTTATTGTGTTACACTTATAGCAGGTGTTTACACTTCCAGTGACTCATGGATTTGGAAGTTGATACCTGATGGCAATAGGAAAGAAAAAGAGTGAGCGCTTCCACCACATCTGGGGGCCACGAGCTCCATTCTGGGGGGAAAGGAACTCCCTTGTGTTGGTTTTAAACTGACTGCCTAGTAGTTACATGTTGGGACTTGTACTGAGAGTCACTAATGAGCCCCTACTGACTCTCTCCTGGACATTCAGTCCCTTGCAAACCTCCTCCTGCCCCCCTCAAGCCTCCCTGATGATGCCCCTCACCACCTGCACCCGCCTCTTCAGCACCTATGGGGCAGGGGAAATGTGTGTGTGTGGCGGGGGAAGGTCTCTCCCTTCATTACAGTGCTCTCCTGCCTCTTGCAGCCACTTCTAGGAGGCAGGGAGAGGGTCCCACATTGCCTCTGGGATGACCATGGGCCAATGCGGCATCCGACAAACAGCGAAATCTGCAGATCCTGCTGTCACGTGTCCGTCTTTGAATGCTGGACAAGGACCTTTGGGCAAAAGTGATATCTTGCGGGTAAATGTGATATTAGACAAGGACCTTTGGGGTAAATGTGATATTAGACCAACTAAATTGTTGGAAAAATGGCTCTTTGAAAGCTTTTGGGGCACAAACGCCCTTCTTCGGGACATAGGGAGACTTTGCTGGGGTTTTGTGTTCTGCTGGGTCGAATAGAAGCCAACAGGCTGACAAGGATCTGTGAGTAAATGTGACATCTTTTATTAGACCAAGTACATTGTTGGAAAAATAGTTCTTTGCAAGCTTTTCAGGCACAAACACCCTTCTTCAGGCACAGGGAGAATCTGCTGGTGCTTTGAAACCAAGATGCATTGTGCACTTAGGAGTAAACTTAGAGGAATCTATGTGCTTTGAAACCAAGATGCATTGTGCACTTAGGAGTCAAGATGCTTTGAAGCCAAGATGCATTGCACACTTAGGAGAAAAGTTGGTTTCAAAGCATTTTGACTCCTCTAAGTTTACTCCTAAGTGTATAAATGCATCTTGGCTTCAAAGCATCTTGACTCCTCCAAGATGCATTATACACTTAGGAATAAATTTAGAGGAATCAAGATGCTTTGAAGCCAAAATTATGAATTTAGGAGTAAACTTAGAGGAGTCAAGATGGTTTGAAACCAAGATGCATTATACACTTAGGAGTAAACTTAGAGGAGTCAAGATGCTTTGACGCCAAACTGCATTGTACACTTAGGAGTCAAGATGCTTTGAAGCCAAGATTATGAAGTTAGGCATAAACTTAGAGGAGTTAAGATGCTTTGAAACCAAGATGCATTTATACACTTAGGAGTAAATTTAGAGGAGTCAAGATGTTTTGAAGCCAAGATTATGAATTTAGGCAGAGGAGTCAAGATGCATGATACACTTAGGAGTAAACTTGGTTTCAAAGCATCTGGACTCCTCTCAATTTACTCCTAAATGTATCATGCATCTTGGTCGTGACTCCTCCAAGACACATGATGATACACTTAGGAGTAAATTGAGAGGAGTCCAGATGCTTTGAAACCAAGTTTACTCCTCCATGTATCCTGCATCTTGGTTTCAAAGTATCCGGACCCCTCCAGGCCGCGTGATACACTCAGGAGCCCTGCTATAAACAAGACACTTCAAGCTCATCCTCCGTTTCTTTGTTGCACTGAAACAGGCTTAACTTTATCACAACCCCGCTCCTCCG